TCTGTATTTTTGTCAGAGCAGAATTATGAGTGTTTCTATGCTTGTTTTAACCATTGCCTTGTGCATGAGGCACCAGGACCCCAATATCAGAAATTATGCACAAGAGTATTTACAGGTAATTATACTCAAACTGTCGTTAACATTGAATGTCATGAATATTGGGGTTTCACTGCAAAACAGCACAAAAATGTTGCAAATATCGCCACCATTTTTGAGAAAAGCTGCTGCAAATTCAGTCGTTTTGGGCCATAAAAATCAGGAAAAAGTCCAGCGAAATAATGATTGGACAGGTAGAACAAAGAAGTGGAAAGGGTTGAGGTCAACTAGGGGAACGAGTGGAGTTTTCTGACCTGCCGAGGTGCGCTTGCTCTGGTCGGTTTGATCTTGTGGCTGGAGGCGATTGTGGTGGTGATCTCCATGATTGAGGAAGAGGTCTCAGAGCGAGAAACCGTAGCACTGGACTTTGGTGTTATGGAGGAGGACTGCGCCTCCCCAACCAACCTCACGCTGCCTTCGATGCGGATGTTGGGGTCTCCTTCCACAGCCATGTTAAAAACCTTCAAGCCATTGTAATAGAATCCAGACATTTGGCCCTGGAAAGCACGGCTGTGGTCTCTTTCCCAGCCTCCGATCTGGATGGTCATCTGGCTGTTGAAGATTGTGAGCTGACGGCCTGCGGGAGAACAAAGTTACTGCAATACAAAAATGCAGACTGAAGACTCAAGTGAGGGAGAGTGATGGAAAATAATCACGCCTGAGGAAAAGACGGATTATTTAGGTACTGGGGAATGTAAATGCCCGACGATTTATCATGGCTGTAATGAAGTGATGCTTATGAAACACAAATAATGAAAAATGAAAGATAAAACAGTGGTAATACATTTAAGCTGTGGTACTTTGCTAAAAGGCCTCTTGAACACTACTAATTATGAACAACTGGTTTAAAGGGGTGGTTCATTGCAATTTCACTTTTTTAACGTTAGTGTGTAATGTTGCTGTTT